AAGCGAGTGATTACAGATACAGTACTTTGCCCGTGCCCTTGCTGCCCTGGGCCTGGGCCCTTAGAGTTCGTGGGCCCAGGGAAATTGACCAGTTGCCCATATGGTTAATCCGGCCTTGGGTACTGTCACGTCATTTGTCCTAGGAAGAATTACATTTCAGATTCATGAAAAGGTCATTCTGGATAGTAGGAGTGTTTTTATGGATATGAGGAATGTTAATTACTGGGAACCAGTGTTGCCACAGTTACATTGAAATATTAATTTGATTATTCCATCCAAAAGTGACTTAGTTACTTTACTTATTACTTTATGTTGAAAGTAACTAAGTTAGATTAGAAATGACTTTATTATTTTTAAGAATATAGTTAGCACTAAATTGTATTATTGTTAAATAAAATAGGAATTAATGAGAGGTCTGATTGCTGATTGAATGGTAAAACTGTCCTTCCACATGGTCGTTAAAGGAATGAGAATGGTTCATTGCACCAGTTGCGTTAAACAACTTGTTGCCAGCTGAAAGATAATCGCTCATGCAGGAATTGTGTAGGAGGCTCGAGCCTATTTGCTTAGTTTAATCCAGGTGGGGACACCCACACACATACTATACCGATCCCTATCCTTTTAACTGTCTCTTCAATGTATTTGAATTATCTTCCAGTTCTCATACCCCACCACAAGGTGTGCACCAGCACCATCGACCAGCACCAAGAATAGACATGAAAAAGATCAGAGGTAAAAACGATGATAAGTATTCAACTACACTAAGGGGTCCAGGGGCATGCTCCCCCGGAAGAAAATTTTGGACATCCATCCATCCTCAGCCGCTTATCCGAAGTTGGGTCGTGGGGGCAGCAGCCCAAGCCGAGAGGCCCAGACTTCCCTCTCCCCAGCTTGGGCCAACTCCTCCTGGGAATCCCAAAGCGTTCCCTAGCCAGCTGAGAGACATAGTCCCTCCAGCATGCCCTGGGAATTGGGTCTCCTCCTCACACTGGTCATACAGGGACCTAGCAGCCTGTATGAGGGTTCAATGGGTTTTCTTTCTGTTTCTTTATTTTAAACACTGAAAAACATCAAATGTGAACTTATAATAAATATTGCATTTGTCACACTGCTCGAGTTAATATCCTTTGGGTCTCAAGCAAAAATTCAGAAAAACGCCCTTACAAGACAGATATTTGTTTGTCCACCCCATCCCCCCACCAAATTGCACCCTGCTTGTTAGTAACATTTTGTAGAGATAAAACTAATGTGAGCCAAACCGCAAATACATTCAACAACAAAAAATAAATCACATTATGTGGACACTGGAAGCCCATTCCCGCCACTCAGATAAAAAAAAAATCTCATAATTATGACTTAGCTATCTCATTATTATGACTTAGTATCTCATAATTATGACTTAGCTATCTCATAATAATGAGATACTATCTCATTATTATGAGATAGCATCTCATTATTATGAGATACTATCTCATTATTATGACTTAGGATCTCATTATTATGACTTAGTATCTCATAATTATGACATAGCTATCTCATTATTATGAGATACTATCTCATTGTTATGACTTTGTATCTCATTATTATGATATACTATCTCATTATTATGACTTAGCTATCTCATTATTATGAGAAACTATCTCATTATTATGACTTAGTATCTCATAATTATGACTTAGTATCTCATAATTATGACTTAGCTATCTCATTATTATGAGATAGCATCTCATTATTATGAGATACTATCTCATTATTATGACTTAGGATCTCATTATTATGACTTAGTATCTCATAATTATGACATAGCTATCTCATTATTATGATATACTAAGTCATAATAATGAGATACTATCTCATAATAATGAGATAGCTAAGTCATAATTATGATATACTAAGTCATAATAATGAGATAGCTTAGTCATAATTATGAGACAATAGTTTTTTTTTATCTTAGTGGCGGAATGGGTTTCCATACAGGCCTCCTAATTACAACATAATTTTCTGGTTTCCGATTTATTTGTTGAGATTTATTAACCGTAACGTTGTAGGGATCTGATGTGTTCAATTTTTTTCTGGAGGAACTGTTTTATGGAATGGAGCAGTTTGTTCATTAAATGTTCAAACGGCTTGCCCTAACCAAGGAAAAAGCTCGGGCTCCTGGGCGTGGCGCAGTGCTGTCTTCCTCTTCCTCTGCCTGCGTCAAGAGCTTCATGTTTTCAGCGGTAAGATTTAATAATTAGCACCAAACTCTGTGGAAGTCAGCGCGATAAACACGTTATTTGTGACTTGGTGAGTAAGTACTGCTACTTCGTCACGTTAGCTCCGCTAGCTCATAAGGAACGAGGCTAATGCTAGTTAGCGAGTTAGAGAACATGTCGCTGATTAAAACAAGCTGCTGTTACTTTAAGCTGCATCAGGAATGCTCGTGTTTACTAATTACTGCACACTGGACTCGGCCCGGATGACGTCAGGAACTTTTACAGTTAAAGAGCAAGTCACCCCCAAATAAACTTTTTTTTGCTAATAAACTAAATAAACGAGTGTCTAATTGTGCTGCAGACACGTGTCGTCAATAATTTGGCACTTCAGTGCATCTTAGTTAAAATTTAAATATTCTGCCTAAAACTGGCAGTGTTGTGCCGCTGTCAGGTAAAACCTCTGCACTGTATTCTAATTTAAATCTGCCACCGCTATTGGCTAAGAGGTATGCTATGATGTAAACTGGTACATTATGATGTCACAATGCTGTTGTGAGCCTGTGTGTGTGTGTGTGTATTTGTTAGCAGCTCCGCCCTCTCAGTCTGCCAGGCAACAGCATGTGTTGCATTTTTCAAACATGAAGTGGGAGTGGAGTTAGAATCTGGTAGGGGTTGACTTGCTCTTTAAAGACTTGTAAAGTCAGTTGTTTGGGTGTAGTTTGCGGCAGTAAGGTGGGTGTAGCTGTTAGTGAAAACTCACCAAGGCAAAACAAACCCCACATGACAAAGTTGTGGTTTAGGTAGAATTAAACCTGTGTGTGTGTGTGTGTGTGTGTGTGTGTGTGTGTGTGTGTGTGTGTGTGTGTGTGTGTGTGTGTGTGTGTCCTGCAGACATCATGGCTGTCCAGTGTGTTACCAAGGTGGAGCTCACCGTGTCCTGTCAGAACCTCCTGGACAAGGACGTCAGCTCCAAGTCGGACCCCTTGTGTGTGCTGCTGATGAGTAACTCTAATTCTCAGTGGTATGAGGTCAGTAGGGCGAACGTTTACAGACTTCAGTATGAAAACCTGTCAGGTCACACTCCTTGTCAGCTGTGTTAATCATTGACTGTTTCTCCACCGTAACTTGTGTCCATCCATACCTGCTGCTCCATCTGCTCCTCTCACTTTTTGCATCCTGTTTTTTACCCGATAGGCGGACCGAACAGAGAGAGTCCAGAACTGCCTCAATCCAAAGTTTGCCAAAAAGTTTGTTGTTGACTATTACTTTGAAATAGTTCAGACGCTGAAGTTTGGGATTTATGACATTGACAATAAAACAGTAGACCTGAGTGATGATGACTTCCTGGGGGAGCTGGAGTGCACTTTGGGTCAGGTAGGCAAACTCCAAAACTCTTATTTTCCTGGAAAATGACAGCTGATTCTGATTTAGCCTAAAGCGTGTTCTGCTTTTCCACATGGACTACTAAATACTCTCTTTACTCCCCCTGAACCTGCTTTTAGGTTGTATCCAGCAAGAACCTGACCAGACCTCTGATCCTGAAGAACAAGACGCCAGCAGGAAAGGGGACCATCACAGTGAGTGTCAGAGACGGCAGGATGCCATAGCATGTTTTTGTTTTATCCTCTTTAAAGCATTTCTCTTTTGTTGGTGTTGTAGGTCACTGCTGAGGAAATTAAAGACAACAGGGTGGTGAATTTTGAGGTGCAGGCGAGGAAACTAGACAACAAGGTAACTTTTTTTTTCCCCCTAAATGCATTCAGTTTTCTATATTCGGAGGCATTTTGCTCACTAGTGTGTTTTATTTGGTTATCTTTACTCTCAGGATTTATTTGGGAAGTCAGACCCTTATTTGGAATTCCACAAGCAGACAGAAAGTGGGTGGCAGCTTGCTCACAGGACCGAGGTAAACACTTTTCGTAGATGAGAGATAAATATGGATGTCCCTCTGAACTAAACCTCGGATGCCGCCCTGGCTCTTGGATATTAAACCTGCGTAAAGTTGGATTGTTTTTATTTTTATTTTCAGGTGGTGAAGAATAACTTGAATCCAACGTGGAAGCCCTTCCGAATCCCCCTTCAGTCTCTTTGTGGAGGAGACATGGAGAAACCTATCAAGGTAAACGTTAGGTGTGATTTAAGCTCCTATTAGCTGTTTGCTTTTCACAATCAAGTATCACGTCCTCCTGAACGAGTATTTAGTGCTGCGTGATGATTTTCTCTAATCCCTGAAGCGAGCATGTCAGGATGGAAGCTGTTTGGCAGCAGGCAGGACAAGTGAGTTGCCCACAAAGCTTCTCTGTCTTCTGTCTGTTCTGGTCACCTGCTGACTGAGGCCTAGTCCACACGTAGCCGGGTTTTTTTAAAAACGAATATCCGCCCCTCCAAAAACTTGCATCCACACCACCTCGTTTAAAAAAAAACTGTCCACACGTACCCGGATAAATACGCTGTTAAGGACATGCCAGACCTGTAGGCGGCAGTACTTCCCCCATTCTTAACCTCGTCCTTCGTCCGTGGTCTTCCGCAAGGAGCAGTAATTCCGCTTGCAACAACAAACAAGCAAAAAGCGCTTGGACAATTGATAAAGCGAGCGCAGCTCTGAGGGCATCCAAGTTGTCGGCTAGTGTAAACACAGGTCGCACACGTGATGTCAGCATTTTTTTGTCGTGGAAAGTGACGTTGCGGATCATAAAACTCCGGTTTCGTCTGTCCACACGCAGACACCCAAAATGGAGAAAACGCAGATCTTCACTTTGGCCAGAGTTTTTAAAAAGATCCGTTTTCGTGTGAAAAAACTCTGTTTTCGTGTGGATGACAGGCCAAAACGTAGAAAAATATCTACGTGTTGGCAGATCCCCGGCTGCGTGTGGACAGGGCCTCAGTGTGAGTGAAGTGGATGGGGACACTAGAAGACATTGCATCAAGGGTGTCTCCAGCTGTTTGACTTTCTACCTCCAGAGCAGCCCTCTGATGGAAACATTAGAGGTCTACTTCCTGTCTGTCCATGACAGTTGTGTCTCGGATTTTTCTTGAAACACTCGAGCAAGATTGGTCCATCTGTTTAGTCCACCTGCAGAGACACGGGTCACTCAAACAACAAAAGGTGTCTCGTCCACCTGAGGTGGAACACAATGATGCAGATGAGGGAGGCTTTGTTTCAACGTGGCTTCCAGATCTATGTTTACGGGTTTTTTCCTGAAGATTTCATTAAAATTCCATCTTTTGTAGTTTGAGTGTTTCATCACACACGTTGTGGGAATGCAGATCCGTCCCCGTCCTTCAGCTTGGAGCTGGTCTAACACTGTCACCCGTTTCAGGTGGAGTGCTACGACTACGACAACGACGGCTCTCATGATCTTATCGGCTCCTTCGAGACCACATTGAAACGTCTCCAGGAGGCCTCCCAGACCTCTCCGGTAAGAACGCAGGCGTGTGTGTGTGTGCGGTTTTGTAACGAGGAGTCAACTAGACATCTTACAACAGGTCTAACCTGTCGGTCTGACTCACTCGCTCACCTCTGCTCTGATTTGTCTGTATGTAGAAGCAGCTTTATTTCTTGTGTCCTCTCTGGTTTTGTCTTGCAGGCAGAGTTTGAATGCATCAACAGTAAAAAGAAGCAGAAGAAGAAAGGCTACAAGAACTCTGGCGTCGTGTGTGTGAAGCTGTGCCAGGTGTGGGGCGTGTTCGTGTTTTTTGTCCTCTCCCTGTGAAGCAGCAGGATGGAGGGGGCACTAGACACTGTTTATGTCCTTCAGTAAGATGGTGTTTGTCTCATAGGTTGTGAAGGAGTACACCTTCCTGGATTATATAATGGGAGGCTGTCAGATCAACTTCACTGTGAGTTTTCGCTCCTCCATGACTACCTTTGAGTGTTTTCCATGCTGTAACCATTGTTTTTGCTGATAGGTAGCGGTGGACTTCACAGGCTCCAACGGGGACCCCAGATCTCCCGACTCCCTGCATTACATCAGTCCTCAGGGCGTTAACGAGTACCTCACTGCTATTTGGTCTGTGGGGAACGTCATCCAGGACTATGACAGGTAGGACTGCTCTTTCTAGTGCCCGAGACAGCTGCCTTTAACTGATGTAGAGTTGAATCTAACCTCAGACCAGCAGTAATTCAGCTGTTCAGATGCAGTTTTTATAACTGAGCTCTTACAGGTGTGTGTTAACATGACACTAGGCAGGAAACACACCAGAACAGCTGTCATGCTGTTGTTTAAGTCCTTTCAGTTATTTATTTTTTTATTATGCATAAAATTGCTCTGGATACACTGGAAGTGCTCCATTCTGCTGCTGCTGCTTGTGATGTTTACCACTGATGGTGGCACGGTCTGTCTCCGGTGTGTGCTAGGCTTACAGGTTTATAAACAACGTTAGCACAGCTATTTAAATGACTGCAGCAACACCCCGACCTCTTCTGTGTTCAGACCAGCTAAGTTATCTGAAATGAGTAAGATCGTAATCAGGGTATCTGCGGGTCCTTAAAAAGTCTTAAAAAGTCTTAAATTTGCTTTTCCAAATTTAAGGCCTTAAAAATGACTAATAATCCTTAAATACAGTTTCCAAAGGTCTTAAATTACCAAAGACCCAATAAACAAGATTATTTTATTTCTAATAAAATTTCGTGAATTTCTAGTTGGTGTTCAGCATTTTTTGTGTATGATATTGGCATAAGTGGAACCGTATACATTCAGTGAAAGGGGGCTATTTTTAGATGGGCACATTAGCTGGTTAAGCTAGTGGGAGCTTGCGCCATGGGAAAGTGCATGGGAACTGGATGGCTAATCCCACATTCGCGACGTTCCAGGCAATAGCTGGAAATCATAGCTTAAATTTAATTTTTAAAAACGGCTTAAATTTGGTCAAAGTGTTCTTAAAAAGGTCTTAAAAAGTATTAAATTTGGCTCCCTTAAACCTGCAGATACCCTGGTAATTAATCTTTCCACAGCAGCATTCATAGTGACCTAAATGTTAAATGAGGATGAATCTCACACTTGATAGCTTTTTAAACATTAAAGCACCGTCCACTGCAGATGCACCTAGCTAGCTGGTGTGAGGGGAGAGGATACAGAAGATGGATGGTAAGTAAAGCTTGGTTTATGGTTGACGCATTCACTTTCCACTTGGTGATGCGGCTCGCGGATGGAACGCACTTCACAAGTCGCAGCGTTTATGGTTCATGCGGCTTGTCTCTGCGGTGAGCCAATATTCTCCCAAACTGAACGGGGCAGCATGGAGCTCTACGGCATGCATCCAACACTACACCATAGTAGAAGTAAAAATTACTGTTGCTTACAACACGGCATTCCAGCATTTTTGAACAGCGTCCTCGTCTTTTCCGACAGTGCGAGCTATTTCTCTCCAAGAATTATTAACAACATGGTGATCACGGTGATCTTTGAGAGCTGAATCATACAAATGTCTGTATTTACAAACCTCTGCCATACTAGTTCTTGCCAGTACGCCATGTTTTTCCACGTCCGACCGTCCGCGTGGTTAGAAAATTTCCTAGGTGCGCGGTGCGGAAAGTTTGGGCCGTGTGGAGGAGCGTGGCTGTTAAAATGAAGCAACTTTTCCGCGCGGAGCCGTGTGGACCTCGCGGACACGTCAAGCATAAACCAAGCTTTAGTAAGTACATTTTATCTAAATAGCACTTATCACAGACATTAGAATCACAAAGTTCTTCACATAGATCAAAGTGAGTTATTGAGACAGTTCTTTGGTGTGTAATAGAGAAATAAGTTTGCATCAAAAAGGCAGAGAATGAAGGGTTTAAGCTTAAGAAAATTTTTATTTCTTTTTTGTGAGGGAGATTTATCGGCCATTATATCACTATCGGCCTTTGTTAAAAGTTTTATATCGGTATCGGTCCCAAAAAAAGCATATTGGTCAGGCCCTACTTTAAAGTGCAGCCTGTGACTTTCTAATCAAGAAGAAGAAAATATCATTTCTATAGCGCCTCTCAAGATCAAAATCACGAGGTGCTTCACAAAAACAAAAAATGTAAAAAGATAAAAAAGAATTTAGAAAATGTTTAAAAATATATTTAAAATGAGTAAAAAAATAGACAACTGTGATAAAAAATGTTAAACAGAGAGAGAGTGAACAGGAAAGAGGGAAATCAGTGGATCCTGAGGAAGGTGGAATAGGTGGGGAGAGCAGAATAAAGAGAGAGTGGTGAAGAAGGTCATACAAAAGCCACTTTGAACAAGTGAGTTTTCAGCTGCATTTTAAAGGAGACCACTGAGTCCACTGATCTCAGGCTCAGGGGGAGAGAGTTCCAGAGTCTGGGGGCCACAGCAGCAAATGATCTGTCACCTTTGGTCTTTAGCCTGGTGCTTTGATCACTGGACCTCAGGGACCTGCTGGGGGTGTAGGGACACAGAAGATCACCAATGTAAGATGGTGCTTGTCCATGTAAGGCCCTATAGACCAGAACCAGGATCTTGAAATGAACCCTGAAGTTGACTGGCAGCCAGTGAAGCTGGAGGAGAAGCGGGGTGATGTGGGTGTGTTTGGAGGACTTGGTCAGAAGCCAAGCACAGGCCTTCTGAACCACCTGTAGACGGTTCAGGGAGGTTCTGCTTAGACACGTGAAAAGAGAGTTGCAGTAGTCTAAGCGTGAGGAGATGAAGGTGTGGATAACTGTCTCAAGTTCAGAGCGGCACAGAATGGGACTCAGCTTAGCAATGTTCCTGAGATGGAAGAAGGAAGAGCGAACAAGAGAACTGACATGAGAATCCAGGGTGAGAGTTGGGTCAAAGGTCATAGCAAGATTCCTGACGGAAGGTTTGGTGAGAAGCAAGCTGACCAAGAGAGTCTCTGACTTTGGAAACCAGCTTGTCTGGGGCACAGATGAGGATCTAAGTCTTATCTTCATTCAGCTGTAGAAAGCTCTCAGCCATCCAGGTTTTGATAGAGACTAAGCAGGTGTGTAACAGCTGCAGCTTAGACATCTCTTGGAGCTTAAAGGAGATGTACAGTTGGATGTCATCTGCATAAATATGGTAGGAGATTCCTTTGAAGGAGCTCAGGATGTGCCGAAGAGGAAGCAAATAGAGGAGGAAGAGCAGAGGCCCCAGCACAGAACCTTGTGGGACACCATGGGTAAGGGTGGTGGTGGAGGACCTAAACTTGGAGACGGCCACAGAAAAGGAGCGCTCAGAGAGATGAGAACCACTCCAGAGCAGAGGGACTTCCAATGTCTCTTGGCTCTGCTGCATGTTTATTTGTTTATTTAAGCATGCCCTTATGAGACTGTAAATGTTTTGATTAATCCAGGGACTTTTCCTCTTGCTAGAAAAAGTAGCCTGCTTAACAGGAGCTACTTTATCTAAGATACTGCAGCATTGTTTATCCAGTGACTGGATGAACAAGCTTGGATCATCACCCTGAACTGAGCTGCTGTCAAATAATCTAGAAAATCCATCCACTGCTGACTGATTAATGATACGTCTCTTTGTTTAGGTTGTGAGGGACAGATTCAACATTAGATAGGACATTAAAGAAAATGCAGCTGTGGTCACTCACATGAACCTCATCAACATGTGAATGATTTATTTTTAGTTCCAAAGAAAAAACAAGATCTAGAGCGTGGCCCATTTTGTGTGTGGGGCCTGAAACGTGCTGCTCTAAGTTAAAAGACTCCATAATAGACATGAACTCCACTGCTGTGCTACAGTTAGGATCATTAATGTGTAAGTTAAAGTCACAAAGGATTCAAACTTTTTCTAGTTTGATCATTGATGATAGAAAATCTGCTAATTCAGAGAGAAAAGGGCCAGCTGGACCGGGAGGTCGGTAGATTAAAATACAGTGAAATACATTTTGTAACCCTGCTTTGATGACCTGACATTCAAAAGTTGTAAAAGGGCCATTTTTCACCAGATTACACACGTTTGTCTTTAAAGGCCACTGCAAGACCTCCACCACGATGTGTTGGGACTGGTGTGGTAAACGCAGAGCCGTTTAGAATCAGAATCAGAAGTTTTTATTGCCATATTGTGCCAAGTCACAACATTAGGAAATTGCTGCGGTATTTTGGTGCAGAAGGTAAGAAGGAAAAAAAATTAATTAAGAGATAAGCAAGATAAGAACTAATAAAACACTCATGATAAAATTATTAATGTAAAAAGTGGCAGGAATTAGAGAAGCAGCTATCTACCCCATGTAGGTACTAATCTGAGTGTTTGCTGAATGTTTCAAGCACAGCATTGGGTCACGTGACTGGGACCAATCAACTTGAGTGGGCTGCCCTAGGATTTTCATTCAAAAGTCCAACTGCAGAGGGGAAGAAACTGTTTTTGTGGCGAGAGGTTCTGGTCCGAATGGATTTGAGCCTTCTGCCAGATGGGAGCGAGTCTTGGAGACTGTGTCCAGGGTGACACGAGTCAGCTATTACCCGACCTGCACGCCTCAATGTCCTAGAGGTGTACAGATCTTGAATGGAGGGGAGTTTGCAGCCAATGACCTTCTCTGCAGAGCGCACGACACGCTGCAGCCTCTTCTTGTCCCTGGTGGTAGCTCCAGCGTACCACACGGTGATGGAGGAGGTGAGGATGGACTCGATGATAGCGGTGTAGAACTGCCTCATCGACTGTGGTGATAGGTTGAATTTCTTCAACTGCCTCAGGAAGTACATCCTCTGCTGGGCCTTTTTTCTGATGGTGGTGTTGGTGGGCTCCCATTTGAGGTCCTGGGTGATAGTGGTGCCCAGGAAGCGACATGAGTCCACCATCGTGATGGGAGTGTCAGACAGGTTTAAGGGGGGATGGGGTGTGTGTGCTTCCTAAAGTCCACAACAACCTCCGCTGTCTTCTGGGTGTTTAGCACCAGGTTGTTGTGGCTGCACCAGGACACCAGCCGTTCAGCCTCCATTCTGTAAGCGGGCTCATCCCCATTAGAGATGAGTCCGATGATGGTGGTGTCGTCAGCAAACTTAATTAGTTTGACAGACTCATGCTTGGAGGTGCAGCTGTTGGTGTACAGGGAGAAGAGCAGAGGGGAAAGAACACAGCCCTGTGGTGAGCCGGTGCTGATGGTCCGTTGGTCCGAGACATTCTTCCCCAGCCTGACTTGTTGTTTCCTGTCCGTCAGGAAGTCAGTGATCCACCTGCAGATGGGGTCAGGCACGTTCATCTGGGATATTTTGTCTTTGTTTAGTGGACATACTTCATTGAAATGTACAAAATCTTGCTGCCACGTCTCCGTAAGAAATAAATAGTCCAACTTTTCCCTGGTGAACAGCTCATTTAAAATAAATGTGTAGGGTTTGAGAAATTGAATGCTTTTAGAGCTCAATATATATTACTGCTACTTATGACCAATAAGCTGTGATACTCTATATAAATATAGAATATCAACCTGCTTGGTCTTGTGTATTTAATCAGAAGATTCTAGGATTCTTTGTTTATTCAGGGATTGTACACACTGTTTTGATTCAGAAAAGAGTCAGGTTTATAAAAGTAAGAATTTATTTTACAAACAATTAAAACATGACAGGTTAACCAACATTTACTGTGATGGATGGAACTAGATGTGATTTATGAACCTATGTGTGAATGCGATGTTATCAGAACTTCCGTATCTAGGAGAGCTGAGTTCTAGATGTAAAAGAATTTGGTTTGTGTTAAGCTATGAAGTTGATTATTATCAAAAGTATCAGACGCTATCTGTGTGTCTACTTCACCCGTTCTCTGAGACCCTCTTCGTGGATCCAAAGGTCAGAAAGGTCGGATGACCTCTGGCTCCCAGGTCCAGTAGATTGACCACAGCACCGACTCCTTCAGTCCAGAGATGTCTCGGGTCACGACAGATGGATGGAACTCTTAAGGAGTCTAAACAATATCAGCTTGTTCTGCAGGAACTGCTTGCTGTATCAGCTTCGCCGGTGCGAACAGATTTTGACGATGTGTCAAAAGCTTTGATGGGTTAAAGAGGTCTTGCTTCAGATGGCCGGTCTGAAGCTTTCTCAAGGACCGATGAATCACCAGAGTGATCCATTTTTAATGTTCTCATGTTATGATTGGTGTAGCCAACCAGAGGTTGACAAGTTATGGATTATTACCAAGACAACTGAGAAACACGCCTTCTTTGATCCGGATGCTCAAATCTGGGGTAAAGGGCTATCTATGTTTCACACGTTTAATTTTACTTTGTCCTTGTGTGAGTGCAAATGGTGATGACTTTGCCATATGAACATGCTGAAATATATATCAATCAATGTTATCATACTATAACATTCATTTCAAACTTCAGTCATTGAACACAGAGTAATGAAAACATTTCATAACTAATAATAATAAGTTCATAATTATTATAAGTAGCAATAAACAAACATTTATTTAATGATTATTTAACTTGTACGTTTTAGAAGTTCATATTTAATTTAAGAAATCATTCTTTGATTTAGCAACTAATCTGAGCTGTGAGTGTTCCTTATTTAGAGGCATGAAGAATCCTGTAGGACGATAAGGGAAGCTTGGACCTTGAGGAGAGAACATCGTTGTTGACGATGCGTTATCATGTGTTCAGAGCTGCAGAGAGGCTCTGAACTCCAGCTGATGGGATGAAGGCAGGCTGATTTAAAGGGGCATTATGGAAGTTTGACAGCCAAAACATGTATAGAAATAATAAATGTCTTCTTCATACATTCTCCTGCAATGCCCTGGTCCTGTAGAATGAGCCCTGGCATTTTTACTGTGATTGCCTGTTTTTCTGTAAAATCACAGAAAAAGAGAGCTGCTCGGGTCGAGCAGGCTGCTTCATGCACGTTCACATTCTGGCATAGCCCGTAGCATTTGCTATCAGTAGCTTTAGCAGCAGAGAGTGAGGTAGTGCCAACTCAGCGACTTTGTCGCTGTTCCTAACGCCTAGTGATGAACCTAGCTACATTTCTGAGGACCCTTAGCTACTTTCTTCTAGATATCTCCTGCAAATTAGCAACAAAATAGCCATTTTTGCTCTGAACCGTTCTTTGAACGTTGTTTCAGCTGTCATTAAGAATATAAAAATTACAGATACAAAGGACATTACTGGCGCTTTAGCTCATCTGGTAAAACGTCGAACTCTCGTGTATAAGATCCGGGTTCAATTCTGGATGCGAACATAATTTATTTAGAGTTTATTCTTTACATTAATGGTATATTTTTTTACAGTAAGATGCCCAAATTTTTTATTGAGACTCGCTGAACGGCATTGAATTCACAGATGAAAAAGATGTGGGTTCAACTTTCATTTTGGAACAATTTTTCAAGCAAGGGAAGGGAAGCTCTGTGAAGCTGACGGACTGACCCTTCTTAAACCATTGTCGGCTGTGCTGAAGAGAAAAGGTACAGAACCAAATTATTTAATTAGCTGTGCGTTCTCCTGTCCTCTGTCCTTCGGGCCACACACACACACACACACACACACAAACGGGACTGTCTCAGCTGTTATTTTCGTTAAGGAGTGTGCACGTACAGCATGTGCGCCTCGTGCACGAGCCTACTATTGAAGCTGCCGTTACGCTTTTGGCCTGAGGGGGCAATAGTGAGCATAAAAATTCTAAACTCCGTAAAGTCCCTTTAAAGGGAACACATGCAGTCTCGTGTCTCCATTTTAACCAGATGTTGAATGGTCAAACTGTACCTAAAAACTGGCCATTGCTGGACATTACAAAGGATTTGTTTGAGATGAAGCGGGCATTTAACAGGGCGCATTGATCTGAATCCTGGAGAACATTTGTCTTCTTAACCTGGTGGAGAGGGATGGGTCGTAAACATCTGGTGTTCTGGGCTCTCCGGCCATTAATACAGTTTATGTCTTTGCTGGTTGATAAATTAACTGGATTAGGGAAACTTGGGTTTGTCAACAGAAGACAACATTATTGGAATTGTGACCTTTGGAAGACACACAGAAGACTGTTGCTTCATGGGAGGACTGTAGGGAGTGATGTTATTTGATGTGGAGGTTTGAGCAAAGGCCGAAGAAGGTGAAGATCTCTGGGATGTAAACCGTCATGTCTGTGGAAGGGAATCTACCATAGATGTATATCTATGGGACTGCACAGCATACCGGATGTTGGCGGTTAGCATGCTTGAGCCATGTCGGTTAGGGTGAATACCATCTCGCCCGAAAAAGGAGAAACTGTTCCAAAACAGGTTAAAATTATCGATGAAACCAAAACTGTGGGACCTGCAAGCAGACTGAAGCCAGGAGTGGAGAGAGAGCAGACGGCTAAAACGTTCATATCCACGAGAAATTGTGGGGATCGGGCCGCAGATGAAAACAGACATTCCACTGCTCTTCAGAATGGCAAAGAGATGGTGGCAACCCTGAGGGAACACCCCCAGACAGCTACAGCTGACCTAAAGCGTGTTTTTGCTGCTTTTACCTGCATGGTTTCTGTTTTCTGTAGTGACAAGATGTTTCCTGCGTTTGGCTTTGGAGCTCAGATTCCACCCACATGGCAGGTACAGCGTGTTGAAATACGCCACAAGAGTTATCCACACTGTAGTTTCATCAGGTGCTGGTTTGTGTTTTCTTGCAGGTTTCTCATGAGTTTCCTCTCAACTTCAACGCCTCCAATCCGTTTTGTGCAGGTGTGATAGCACTATAAGCTAATGTCTACATGTGAGGCTGACACTCTTTCTGATGTGTTCCTACATGTTTGATCGTGTGTGTGTGTGTGTGTGTGTAGGTATAGAAGGTGTGGTGCAGGCCTACAGGGCATGTCTGCCTCAGGTTAAACTGTACGGTCCCACTAACTTCTCCCCCATCATCAACCACGTTGCCTGTTTTGCTAAGCAAGCGCTCCAGCAAACCACCGCATCAGTGAGTAGAAGAAATGACGTTCAGGAGCAAATGATGTCATCAGTTCCACCCAGACTGTTTTAGACAGTTAAGATGTTGTCCTGGTCCCTGTGTTGTCTGTCTTGAAGCAATACTATGTCCTGCTCATCATCACCGACGGAGTCATCACTGACATGGACGAGACGCGCAACTCCATCGTCAACGCCTCGCGGCTGCCCATGTCCATCATCATTGTCGGCGTCGGAGGGGCAGACTTCAGCGCCATGGAGTTCCTGGATGGAGACAACGGCCGTCTGCGCTCTCTAACCGGTGAAGTGGCTGTGAGGGACATCGTCCAGTTTGTGCCATTCAGGCAGTTTCAAAACGTGAGTCACCGTGGCAACCTGCGCACGTTTTCGTCTTCATCTGTTTTCCTGATTTTGCTTGTTTTTGTTTTTAAAAGCTAATCCGTCTGTAAGACTTGCTGCTCGTTACTAGGGGTGTAACGGTACACTAAACTCGTATTCGGTTCGGTTCAGTGTTTTGAAGGGCTCTGTTTGATTAATTTTCGGTATATTATGATAATATTTATTTATTTATTTAATATCAGAAGCGGCTCCTATAGTGAGCAGAACCAGGTGTCATCACAGGCTGCTAATCTAGCATGATGTCTTGGATTATTTCACAGGTTATTTGTGCCACAGACAGAAATGCATAGATGCCCCGTGGGCTGGCGCTGTCTATTGGAGATGCCGTAATAGCCGACCGCCATTTTACATAGAATAGCCCCCAGTGCATTCATTTCTACTGAGGAAGGTGCTTACCCAACTAAAAAACACGTTTTATCAAGCTTTTTCACAAAATCAAACACAAGGTACGGCATGATGAATAAAATATAAATATGATTAAATACAAAATAAATATTAAATATAAAGTCCTATCAGGTAGGCTAGAAAAGTCACTAGTAATCCCATGTAATCTGTTTTCAATTGTATGCTGGTTGTTTTAACTGTAGGCTGCACAAAAACGTGCATAGTTGCTCACTCTGCATTGACTTTGGAGAGTGAGGAGACCCATACAACATGGCGGCAACGCTGTTACACTCTCCAGCACCCAACGGAGCATCTACATATTCATGTTTATGATTTGCGCAGCTCACTCTCATACAGACGAGTGTTTCACGTGTTTTTATTTCTTAAAAACTCACCTCACACCGCCCAGAGTTTCTTCTTTAAAACTCGTATTAAATAACGAGCGTCCTCCGCGCCGTATTTTTCGTTGTGAGATGAAAACTTTACATCGGTTGTCACTGCGGAAAAGTTCAGCAGATATGTTTGTTTACATGTTTGCCGCTGCGTGCCTGCACACTGGGAGAGAAGGGAGGGAGAGGCGACACGATCGGTCTCTACAGACTCCACAGCAGCAGCGACAGTCAGCTGGTTTGATCCACTCCGAAAGACGTTGATCAGAATTTGAAGATCACATGTTTTGAACGGAGATCGGGCGCTTGCAGCCATCATGCGTCACTCAATACAGCGTCCATGCGAAACTCGCCGAGGAACTTTCATCCGCTGCACTTAAATCATGCAAATGTGTTAAAAATTCATTATTTAACGGAACAAATAAACCGAAATGGTACACAAGTGGACCGAACCGAAATGGTTCGAATAACCCCCGTGAACCGGTACACCCCTACTCATTACACTGATTTCTAAATGGCATAAACACCACAGAGCAGACTCTCCATCCTTCCATTACTTCTTTCCACCCTCAAATCTAAAGATGGCAGCCTCTGAAGCAAATTCTCATTTAGTTCATGTATCTTCCTTCTTTATCCGTTTCTTTTCAGGCGCCCAGCCAGGCTCTAGCCCAAAGCGTACTGGCCGAGTTGCCTCAGCAAGTTACCTCGTTCTTCAGTTCTTTCAAACTGAAGCCTCCCCGCGATCCCGGTCCTCCTGTGTTAACTCATTAAACCCTGCATTTCCTGCTCTGCCTGCATGATTACCCATACGAAGCCTTGTTCAGACCTGGTCCTGATTAGATCAACCAGAACTCGTCAGCACCAGATCTGAACAAAACTTTTATTACGAAACATCAGAGGAAGTGATTTCTGTTCTAATTCTCATATCTGTGTTCAGTCCTGCTCGTGCGGAGTCCGAAATGGAAAACACTTCTGCTTATGCCTGTTGGCTCTCGGGGCTTCAAGTATGGAGCTAGGATGGGAAAAATATTACATGCAACTTTTAACATCATTTTGTAACTTTGGTATGGTAACAATTCTCGTTTTGACACACGTAACTTTTGTTTTGTAGCATGTAATTCTCGTTATTATGTGTTACAATTAGGGTTGTCAAGGTATGAAAATTTAACCTCACGGTTATTGTGACCAAAATTATCACGGTTTTCGTTATTATCGCGGTATTTTTTAAACTGTGTTGCATATGTTCAGAAAGCATTGATAGTCCTGTTCTACACAAACTGAAATAGTTTTGAAAAGGTTTAACAGTGTTTATTAAACCTAAAATAACACAAAGCCTTAGCAAAAGTGCAACTTTTCACAAGTAAAGGAACAAATAGCTTCTTTTTCTGGAACATGTTACAGTAGTCAGTGCAGGTTTAAATTATACAAATCCAAACATTCAAAACATAAACAATATGTAAACAAATCAAAGAAACACCACTTGTTTTCTCATATACTTGTTTTCTTCATTATCAAAATGAAAATCTAAAACTCCAGTCCACACTTGACTTGAGCGCTGTACAAGTCAACCTTAAAAAATCTGTATTTAAAATAAATAGCCACTTTAAACAAATGACTAAAATAACTACTACACTATGTAATCAAATCCAAATGTTCAAGTATAAATGGCATTGAATAAGTAAACAAATCAATGACAAGGAACTAATTGTATATTTCTCTTCATCATCAACAAATACGATGCTTCATCCAGCAACAGGGTGTCCGTGACACGGTTTAAATGCTGGCAGAGGACGCTGCGGCTGCAGTATATAGTGACTCGTTGCATTCTCCCTCAACCAAAAGTCCTCACGTCATGCATTTAAGCTAAAATGCTAATGTTAACTTACCTTGCACTGGCTGTAGAGACGCGGGTGATGGTCACTCAGATGTGCCATTAGATTGGAAGTGTTGCTGCCTTTTGCAGACACTTGTTTCCTGCACGTTCTGCAAACGGGATAGCCGTCTTCTATTAACTGTCCCTCAGCGTTTTTCAGAAATCCAAAATATGCCCATACTTCCGATTTAGTCTTCTTTGAGGGCTGATTGATGTCCTGGGCGCTGCCGTCTCCTCCTTTGGCCATTAGTTCAGCTTCAAAGTTTTTGTTGCAAACTAAAAAGTGCGTGTGCGCGGGAACTTCAGCAGAAGCGACGGTGGCTGGTAAGGGTCACCGCGCCTGAACCGCGGCCACGGTAAACCCACCGAGATAATTTAGTTTTTTAAAAACTGGACGGTTATTTTTATTGTCAACTTTTTTACCGGGGTTTACCGCTATACCGGTTACCGTGACAACCCTAGTTACAATACAAAAGTTACAAAACAAGTTACGTGTAATATAACCCCAATCCTAGCTCTATGTTCAAGCTGCAGGATTACAGCAATAGCTAGCCTTTCACTTCCTGTACTGCTGTGATGCTGCAGTATGCCTGCATGGTCACAAAGCTGTAAACTCCCTTCACCTGCATGATGCCCTACATGCTCACTCTTCTTCTCTGGTGGAATAATTAATGTCACAGAACCTGGTGGTGAAACGTTCATGGCTGCTGTTTTTTACCTTTCTTCCTCGTCCAGGCTCCTCGTGAGGCGCTGGCTAAGACAGTGTTAGCTGAAGTTCCAGCCCAGTTAGTGGACTTCTTCAACACCCTGAAGCTGAATCCTCCAAACCAAAATCCTGCACAAACCGTGACGCCTTAAAGCGTCCAGCCTGGTCTCCAGCCGATAGGAATGATGAGAAATGAGTCTTTAGACGTGAGTCAACCCAGCTCATGTCTGCACGCTTTGAGAGCATTTTAAGCAGCTGATCAGGGTAGATCTATATAATAAATCATGATTCTTTATTAGCTAACCCACCCCCCCCCCCCCACACACACACACACACACACACACACCCCATCAATAAAGACTGCAGGATGATGTATTTTAAACTCAAAGTTTGATATTTATTAAGGTAAGATGTAAAAAATAGATTTTATTTCACTACTCTGACAATCCTAAAACAAGAATTTAATCAGTATCACTAAATCGACTTTAGCACAGAAAGATGAAACTGGTTGTGGCCCTGGCATCAGTGGTCCTATCAACATCTAGTCGCTAGAAATATACATATACTTATTTTTGGGTAAAGTGTAAGATTATTTTCAGTTAGACCTATAGCTTTATTCTTGTTTGGTTTATATGGTCCTGTTTTCTACCAACGAAACATAAATGCATGCGAGTCTTTGCTGGCTGCGGTTGTTGCTCATCTTTGGCACATTGGGGTTTACTTCAGGTCACTGTTTTTGTAGATGCATTTAACTGGACGACTTAAGAGACGCCAAACTTGCGTTTATATTTGTTGAATGTGCCAGTAACCTTTTGTTTAAAGTACCCAGGCTAGAGCCTTAGGTTTACACCTGGACCAACAGAGATGTTCAATATTAAACATGACCCGTTTACAGCTAAACTGTGCTTTTTAATTATGTTGAAACAAACTGCAATAATGCTTGGTGTATTTCTGCAGACTGCTGCTTTGCATCATACTAGGAGTGGGTAATGTGCTTCTGAGCATTCAGCTTGCAAATAAAACCGATGGTATTCTGTAAAAGTGGGCTGGTGGCCTCATTTTTATTAGTTTATAAGCCTGGATCATTAATGCTGCTGCTGCCACCTACTGGAGAGAAGACCAAACAGCTGATCACGTAGGGTTCCCATTTTCCTAACTGGGACAAATGTAGTCAAATCAAAACTAGTCTCAATGGAGGTTTTTCCCACCAACAGAACCTTCCAACATGTTGCTTTCTATGCCATCATTACATACACCTCACCCAGCATGACTCCTAACATCAGAGGAAACTGATGAAGACTATATCGTTCAGAGCTACGATCAACCAATCAGCCGTTAGACCAAACATGTAAAAGGTACAAAGCCTACTGACCTGCCATCAGGCACTTTTACATACTGATTAAAAAATAATCTGCTTTTCTAACTAACCTCCTGCACAGACTCAACGGTGCAGCTCACTAGTCATCCCGGCAGCTCTGAAGAAGCCTAAAACACCTCCCCCTGCAGGTGTTGTCTCTGAAGGCCAGGTGAACACTGTGGGTGCACAACCTGGACGTGGTTACATGCGGTGGATGCTGCTGTGATCCATGAACTGTTTGAGGTCATGCAGGTTGTCCCACCACTTGAAGAGGAAGGTGTGTGCGATGAGGCTGAACCAGGGTGTGATCTCCAGCTCCTGGCGCGAGGCCTTTTCCAGCATCACCTTCAGCTCCTCTTTACTGACATAACAGTGGCTTTTAATCTCATTAGGATCTGGGCTCAACTCCACATCCTGCAGAAAGATAACAGTGGTATTAATCCGACTCGGGTCATCATCACAGACCCACTTCAGCTCTACCTTCTGCATGAAGAGGATGTAGTCGATCTCATGTTCTCCCCAAACGCCATCCGACTGGGCCTTGTAGTGAATCCTCGTTAAATATGTCATTTCTTCTGGCGGCACCTGGCATAAGAAAATGGAGATCAGTAGCAAAGCCTCAAGCCGCAGTAATCCTCTTCCAGTCAATGCACACAGCATACCTGTTCCAGAGGGATTCCCAGCTCAGCTTTGAGTCTTCTCTGAGCAGCCCTCCTCACTCCCAACGCATCCGTCTCCTCCAGCTCGCTGTCTGTGTGTAAGGGGTGGCTGCAGCATGTGTTTGTGAAGCAACCTACACACACACAGCCTATGAGCAGGAGTAGTTCACACATCACACAGACCGGTGTTTAAAGGCCAACCTGGAAAAGTGATTTTGGCATCGGATCGCTGCTGCAGGAGCAACTTCTCCTCACTGTTGAAGATGAAGACGCTGAACGCTCGATGCAGTAAGCCTGTGGGGGTGGGATGTTGTTAAAAAGCAGATCAGCGCAGGTGTGTACATCTGTACCCAGCTCGCACCTTTATTGATGTTACAATTGAGGTGACAGTTTTTCTTGGTGTCGGCTCCGATCCTGCGGTCGCTCTCGTCGATAAGGATGCACATCTCAGAGAGCAGCTGCACCTGCTTCTCATCCAGGTGATCCGTGGTGATCTCAGGCATCCTGGCTGCAGGCTGCTGGCGTCTCACCTCGCTGAAGAACAGAGAGGCAACTTAACAATTCTAAGTGCAATTAAAGGAATGGCTAATCAAGAGATGTGACTGGTAAACTAAATTTAGAAGTCGTGGGTAATACCTGAACATACTTGGCTGATTACAAACAGCTTTAAAAAAATACCCTTTTATAACATTTTCCAATTTATCTTAAGAACTAAGTTATGTTTTGACTCACGAGGGTAAAACGGCTCTTAAACTCTATTTTTCCTGATTTTTAAAACTCTGTATCGGCCGTTGAAAACTCCACATCAGTCCACCTCTAGAATAATTTCAGATATTTCGCTGAAATATTTCGTTCTACCAACACCAACAGCTGTTTCCTTTGCCAGCAGTATTTACATGTAAAAAAAAACTTTCATAATGCGGCTTGAGGAAAATAAAGGTGAATTATTAAAACCAAAAGGTCAGTACTACGATGTAAAGCAGAATTTAACCGAACTTTATCGACACTACGCGGCAGATATTTACTGTTACCGAGGTCAGACACGTGGAGCAATCAGCAGCATAAACAAACACCCTGCTTTAGGGCTTAAATTATAATCCTACTCCTCGTTGTTGTTAACCCCACACCGGTCCAGCGGTAGCGAGCAGCTCCTCCTCACCTGGACAAAGCTCTGCAGCAGGTCCGGACGGCAGGCCCGAGTCTTGCTGCAGCTCCTCGGCTGATACAGGGTACGTTTGATTTCAACACGCTGATTCCCTCCATGGACGCCGCCCGCAGCACCGCCCACACAGCTGGGGCCATGGCCTGACCGAAACAGGAAACCAATCAGAAGCAAGGGAGATAAGGCTGCGGGTAAAACCTGGGGAGAAGCCAGCACGACGGAGTCGGATGATAACGAGGTCAAAGGTGAACAGCAGCAGCTCCTGTTACTGGAAAAAAAGAAAGAAAAAAAAAAACATTTTAATCTGTTGACACATTTTGTAACAGTTCATTTTTCTCCACATTTCCCCACCACCCCATTAGCTTAGCCTTTCAGAGGAGGCAGGAACGTATGTCTGATGCACATTGTGACCAAGGGCGTAGGAACGACAACACCCCTCACCCCTTCCTCAGTCTCCTACGCCCTTGATTGTAACATGAGATGGCCTGGGTAAACCTTTGGAGCTCTGATATGTCAAAAAGCTTTCACTTTCTGCTGATCTGTTGAATGCACACAGAAAAAACTTATCAGAAGACATTTTTGTCATCAAGGACATCTTCATGACAAGACAGAGATGTAGATAAGGTTTGCAGGATTCATATATTCAAGGACTAAGATTTATTGTGAGAAAATATGGGACCCAGCAGACATCTTCTATGTCTGTGCATAATTACTGATATAATAAAATCCTTGACATCTAAGTTTTTCCATGCAAGTTTGCATTTGTGCTGTGCTCGTGATTAAATAAAGTTAAAACAAAGGGTCTTCATTTTAAAATTTGAGTGGAGTTCCAACAATCTACAGCAACAACTATCTCCAGCGGTCAATGGGCAGTCTGGCAGGGTACACCCTGAACAGAGAGCCAGTCCATTGCAGGGCAACACAGGACAAACAATCATGCACGCACGCACACACACACCAAAGGACAATTTAGACAGACCAGTCAACCTAACAGTCATGTTTTTGGACTGTGGGAGGAAGCCGGAGTACCCGGAGAGAACCCACGCATGCACAGGGAGAACATGCAAACTCCATGCAGAAAGATCCCAGGCCGGGAAGTAAACCCAGGACCCACTCGCTGCAAGGCAACAGCTCTAACCAATGCGTCACTGTGCAGCGCCCCCCCCCCCCCCCCCCCCACACACACACACATATATATATATTTTTTTTTCTTTTTGGTGTAGACATATGAGTAGTCACTGTTGAAGATGACGACTAGTCCTATGTCTGTGTGTCTCAGGTCTCAGTATGCTACATAGTTCTAGAACCCAAGTTCTTCATTTTTTATTTGTGGTTTTTAGTGGTTGAAGGTTGCAATGATAGCTTACTGCTAAAGTGCATTTACATTATTATTTTTCTTCAAGTTATTCTCTTAAGTGTTGCTGCTGCTGTAAGTGCAAGTGAATTTCCCCACTGTAGGATCAAAAGTCTATTCTCTCTCTCTCTCTCTCATATATATATATATATATATATATATATATATATATATATATTAAATATATATATATATATATATATATATATATATATATATATATATATATATATATATATATATATATATATATATATATATATATATCATTCAGTAGCCATCATACAATATAAATAGATGATCCATTCCAGTTTGATCCACTTCATCTCTTCCTGTTAACGCTGAAAGTGCACACGCCATCAGTCCATTGCACCACCCGGGCCTCTGACATCCAAAGTATGCAACGTTTGTTACATTTCCAACACACACGCAAATTTGTTGAAGCCGCCAGATACTTACAAAAACCATACTCTACAGCAGGGGGACCCAAAACGTCCTCCAAGGGTTATGCGCGTTTGTTTACCACGACGTTTCTTAGCGGAATCCAACAGTCGAGCCTTCAGTCTCTGCGTCTGACGTTAAGGATTTTCATTGGCTACCTAATCGACTGCGGTTCTGCTCATTGGTCCAAACAGCGCAAACACAAATCACATGATGCGGAAGTGGTTACTAAATATGTGATGTGTCAAAATTTGCAACAAAAAGATACTTTAGAAATTGTAGCGAGTTGTTAGAATATTTTAGAACACATAGTAGTGGTAGTTTTTAATGAACAGGTTTGTTTGATCTCACGTTAAAAAATGATAAGTCACCGCTCCCCCAGCTGCCGTGGTATGAGTCAGATATGAAGTTGATATGTGGCAGCTGGCTGTGCTAGCTAGTAGCTAATGTCCAGGAGCCTGAAAGTCAACAATGACTTCAGAGAAGCATTGACATCGGTGAGTGACACATTTGTTTATTATTTAATCCTTTATCGCTTCACAGATATGTCAGTGATACTTTACGCTTTACTACTCATAAGCGGAATTTTATCAGACGCAGAAATGATATTTTCATTTCTGACGTATCTTGTCTTTCAGCTTTTTTTTTCCGCAACTGAGCCAACACGTGGATGATGCAAATTAATCACCTAATGCACATTGCTATAAATAAACAACAACAAATTCAACAAGCTGTGAGACTCCATCGGTGTAACACAGCATTCTGTCACACATCAGACTCTGTGACATAATTATGTAACAGCTGAGATGCAGCCTGATTATACACTGCTTCTCAGCTTTTGCTGAGCTTGTTTATCTGTTTTATTCCATTCAATTTGACGCCCTTGTAAACATGTGACATTGTTGGCCATAAACCTTGCCCTTGAACGTGTATGACCCCAATCAATCAAACTTAATTTGTATACAAAAATACAGCTCAACGTCCTTTACAGGTTAAAATAACCCCATACAACCCATAATCCCATAATTTCCCTAAAAATATAAATGACCTAGTTCCTGACCTGAGGGTTTCTGTATAATAAAATGAGATAAAGCATGAAGTTTCTAGTGTGTGATCAACACTAGGTCTTTTGTTCTTAATTATTATCATTTTTATTATCACCAAATGCAGTTTAACAGTCTTTTTAATCTAAAATAGGAGACGAAGAATAGATTATTTATCAGAGTCAATCAGGCTCATTGTAAATGCACATTAAAACCACTTTTGTTAACTTAAGAACTGTGGAAAATGTAAAGTTTGTAAAATGTATTTTTTGTAAGCCTACAGCTTGGAATAGTGTCTTTCTTATTCCAAACAGCATTAGAATAATCTAACGCTGTGTTGATGTTAGTTTAGATCTCTCTCTCTTTCTGAAGGTCGACTCATTTCCATCTGTTCATCCTGCAGCTGTAAACTTCCTTTTTACTGCAGGTAGGTGGAGAGAACTGACAGACCCAACCCATCCGCTTGCCAACAAGCAAGTGTGGCCTTTGTTTACCTGCCTCTCAGGTAAGTTTTGAGCCAGGGCGGGGCCGAACACAAGGTAGGAGGGATGCCTGTGGAGGGTGGAAGCAGCAGCGGCTCAACTTCAGCAACACGTCACCCCAAGCAGAAGCGAAAGGCACACAGTTTGTCAATCCGACGCACTAACAGCACGGAGGACCGGCTACCAGGCATCCTAAGAGGAGACATGCTGGAGGGACAGGTGAGGACTACTCTATTACCTTTGGTTGCCTCACAGAGGCACTGAAGTGCTGCTTTAGTTAAATGTACTGGTTATCATAAAAAAATGTATCTTACAGACACAGTTTTAGACGATTCTTCTCAAAATACCATCACGAAGGTCATCGTTTGTTCTGATTACATTTGGATTACTCTGAGGTTACTCTCTGGTCTGTCCTGAAAGTGCAGTATGGGCTGGTTAAACAACATTACTTTGGTTTTAAACCTGATGATGCAACATCCACAGCTCCACTCTACTTTGTGTAAATGAGATGGAGTTTCTGTCTCCTGGGACCTGAGACGGGGACATTTCCCTATCTAGGATTTTACCTGGGAGGAAAATAGTCCTCGTATCAATGCCATTTAGGTTCTCTCAAAGTCAGCCCCCTGGGTTAGTTACTCATTTATTTGTCCAAAACAAAGGAAGCTGCTATCTTCTTAAACCCACTGCTGCTATGAAGTTGGTCATTAACTTATTTCTAAGCCAGGTTATCTGGAACGGGCCACAGCTGATTTATTTCCCTGCAGAAAGGCAGGACTGTACTCTTTATTTACAAGGACCTAGTTCCTGTTCCTGACTTGCTATGGCGACTTCATGCTTACTTGCTGCAGAGACGATGAAAAGAGTTTCTGTTTGATCAAGAACGCTGTAGCCGTTAACTCTGGGGAGTTGGCTGCAGAGAGAAACAGCTTCCAGATAACACCAGCCGTGCTTTAGATCGTGCTTATTGTGTCATGTGAGATCTCGGAAGTAAGGGTGATATTTATCTTTTACTTTCTCTACCTGTGGTGTGGAGTGTGTCGAGTTTGGTGGCAGGAGAATCTCGTCTCTGCTTTTTGCGGATGATGTGGTCCTCCTAGCTTCATCCAGCTCTGACCTTCAGCTCTTGCTGGGTAGGTTCGCGGCCGAATGTGAAGCGGCTGGGATGAGGATCAGCACCTCCAAATCTGAGACCATGGTTCTCGACCGGAAAAGGGTGGCTTGCCACCTCCGGGTCGGGGGAGAGGTCCTACCTCAAGTGGAGGAGTTTAAGTATCTCGGGGTCTTGTTCACGAGTGAGGGTAGGAGGGATCGGGAGATCGACAGGCGGATTGGTTCGGCGTCTGCAGTGATGCGGACGCTGAGCCGATCTGTCGTGGGGAAGAGGGAGCTGAGCCAGAAAGCCAGGCTCTCGATTTACCGGTCGATCTACGTCCCAATCCTCACCTATGGTCATGAGCTTTGGGTAATGACCGAAAGAACGAGATCGCGGATACAAGCGGCCGAAATGAGTTTCCTCCGTAGGGTGGCCGGGCTCAGCCTTAGAGATAGGGTGAGGAGCTCGGACATTCGGGAGGGACTCGGAGTAGAACCGCTGCTCCTCCGGATCGAAAGGAGCCAGTTGAGGTGGTTTGGGCATCTGGTCAGGATGCCTCCTGGACGCCTCCCCGGGGAGGTGTTTCGGGCATGTCCTGCCGGCAGAAGGCCCCCGGGTCGACCCAGGACACGTTGGAGAAGTTACATCTCCAATCTGGTCCGGGAACGCCTTGGGGTCCTGCCGGAGGAGCTGGTGGACAAGGCCGGGGAGAGGACGGCCTGGAGCTCCCTAGTTGGGGTGCTGCCCCCGCGACCCGGACCCGGATAAGCGGAGGAAGACGACGACGACTTTCTCTACCTGTTTCTAAACCATCAGCCTCTAGAGCCGGAGCTCAGCTTGCACCGCTCTGTTGTCTCATCAAGTTTTAATACGGGCCGCTTGTCCCTGTCTGATTAGTCCTTTCAACGGTCCTTTGTGTTTGTTGCCAAGACATTCTGTCTCTGTTTATGCCCCCATTATTGACCAAAGTGCACTGCAGGTTTCAGGGCAGGAACTAAGCAGCTTTCAATTTATAAGAGCTGCCTCTTATTTCCTAATTAACCCCTTTTTCCTCCCTGGAGAGCATCGACGCGTGGTTCAGACTGAGTGGTCAGGCTGCCAACGTGACAAACTGGGTTTAGATCACGTGTCCCAACAGGAAAGGGTGCCGGTAAAATGTTTGATTGTTTGGGTGAACCGAGCTGCAGCGTACCGTGGATGACGATTTCTGTTTTCATGGGATCTTAAACATCAGTGTGTGTGTGTGTGGGTCCTGCGGGAGCTCGTGACCCTCTGATAAATAAGAGCTCGCCATGGAGGTAAGGAGGTTCTGTGGAGGCTGTAGCTTTGGTTTAATTTGAAGTAAACATGCCGACTCTTTGCGGAGAGACCAACACTTCCACTTGGTTGAAGTTTTTGTTTATTTAATGAGTCACTCAAACATTTCCTCCAGCGGCCGCAACACAGTGAAGCAGACAGCTGTTCCTGTCAGATCCAGCCTGTGAAGAGGACACGGACGGATGTACCATATGCTTCCTTTGTGGCTTTCTGATGTTGATCTTTTTGTCATGTGTCCAGGACTCCAAGCTGCCCCACTCGCTGCGGAACAATCTCCTCGAGCTGTTTGGGCAGATCGAGCGAGAGTTTGAGAACCTTTACATCGAAAACCTTGAATGCAAGTTTCTGGTCACACCGTTGGGTCTTTTATTTATTTATTTTTTTGAAAAATTCAAACACAAATTTATGAACCCGTAGATCTTCACTGACTGTGTGACTGTGATGATGTTGCAGTGCGGCGGGAAATCGAGTCTCTGAATGATCGTCTGACTGGAGATGGACAGGCGGTGGATGGGGGGGACCCCACCAAGGGAGCCCTAAAAGCTAAAGGTCTGTTGCGCCTGTTTGTGTTTGTAGTTTCGCTACATTATCTGTCATGAATCACTAAAACACAAATCAGTCGATCTTCATCGCAGCTGACTCACTTTTGGTGCAAGTCCGATTCAAGATGGCTGCCATAGATGATCCGTATTCGTAATGGCATTAACGTGGTCAGCTTTAACTCGGTAGCAGCTGCGTGTCACTAACAGCAGCTGAAGGGATCTGGTGGGGAAACTGGGTGTGCTTTAAAGTGACCCGGTTTGCTGGATTAAGCTCCGTTCCTTCAGCGATTGTGTCACGATCAGCTGACTGACAGCTGATCAGTAGAACCACATAACAAGGCTTTGCTGCGTAAGATGTCGGTGTTCCTTAAAGCCCTGGCGTTGTGCGAGTGTAACCGAATAAGTGTTGTTTGTGTTTGTGCCCCACAGCCAGCCACAGCACCAGTCAGCTGTCACAGAAGCTGAAGACGACCTACAAAGCTTCCACCAGCAAGGTACCGGCTCTAAGGCCCTCCGGTGTGTGTTCATATTCCAGGATGTAGTTCTGTCGGCGTTAGCTGGCCGTTGAAAGGCCTGGTGTTGCTGAGTGAGAGGAAGGGAGCTTCTTTAGCTTCCTCTGAATGTGGCTAAAAAAAGAGTTTCTGCTGATGAAATGCAGATTTTAAATGTTTTCTGGTGTAACGAGGCCTTGGACACGTTAGGTGGAGGTGCAAATGAAAATGTTTTGTGATCTAAAGGTTCTTTATTTTTAATCTTTTGCCGAGGCAGCGCTTGTATTCATTCCAGGACAAAATAGGTGGAGCTCGCAACTTCAATATGGCCCCATGGGAGCTGTGGGCTGGAGATTCATGGGTAACTTCCTGAATGCTCTGACTGTCAATAAGCACTGATGGGTTAACTCGACTCGGCTTCAGTCTCTCCTTGACTCTTCTTTAGCTCCACTCAGAAAAAACAAACATGGCTGCATCTGCTTTAGAGGCCTTGCAGCCTGTTCCTGTCTAACATCTAAAACCCGTCTACCTGCTGCTTTGGTGTCGGAGCCAGAGCCCACCTTAAACGTCTAGAGTCCGTTCTTTTTTTTTTGTCTTTTCGTCCTGTTTTTATGCTGGCTGGTAAAGCTGAAGGTGCAAAAGCAGCCAAAATAACTGCAAATAGGAAATGGGAAATGTGGAAGCTTGTTTCAGATTCATCCGGGACAAGTCGGCGTTTTTAGGAAAAGCTGAGGGTCTCAGTCTGGAACCTGACCTCCATACCTGTAAAAGTCTTGGTTTGAACAGATTAAATAAATTAGACACGTTTAGAGTTTTAACTCTGCTGCTGAGCAGACTTTCATCTGAACAGGATTATTTCCTGTTTTAGACTGCGTGTCATTAGACTGACGAGCTAACGGCTAGTCTGAACCAGTGTATTCTTGCCGTTTTAAAACGGCTCAAATCTCCCCAGTTAAAGCAGTCTATGCAGATTCTTACACCATTGTCCATCACACACATTTTACATTGGTTTCTGTTTTAATTTACCCTGGAGTCCAGCAGGAATTTCCTGATATTTTAACCAGAATAAGGTAATAAGGTAGTGTCCGCCCCGGGACTCTGGGAGATGGGGGCTCAAAACCGGTCAGGTCAAACCAAAGACTGAAACAATGGGACTCAATGCTTCAGCTTTAAGAGGTTGGATTGGGCGGTTAAACCATCAAATAGTTCTCTAGCGCGGCCACCGCTGTAACTCACCGCTCCCCACAGGGATGGATCAGATGCAGAGATGAATTTCACCAGTGTGTGAAGACTAAAGGGACTTT